AAAGCAGTTCTTCAGCCTTGGAGCAGAGCACACAGTGCAAGGGCTACCCTTGATTGATTTGAGGATCCTGACGCCATGAAGAGCCACAGCTCTTCCTCCCCACCCATCATCTTCATCACCCATTTTCACAACTCCCTTGGAGGAAACAGTGGAGAACAGGGCCAACACAACACTTCTTAAGGGTCAATATTGTTTCCACCCGAATGTGTGTATGCTGGAAAACACCCTTCTTAAGGTGAGTCCCTTGGAGGAAAACAGGGGAGAACAGGGCCAACACAACATTTCTTAAGGGTCAATATTGTTTCCACCCAAATAGCTGTATGCTGGAAAACACCCTTCTTAAGGTGACCATGAAAACATGAGGAAGAGGCCAGTTGAGACAGGCTCTCAGGAAAGGCCAGTTAGAGCAGCTTGGCCCCAAAGGAAAGGAAACAGATGCCTTGGATGGCACATCTGACATCCAATGTGTGGCCCATCTGCTCCACCAGGCAGTCCAAGGTCCTTTCTGCTTCCCCAAAGAAAGGGAGAGCCTGTTGTATCCAGAGCAAACAACACATCAAAACTAATGGGATCTACAACCACAACCAAAGAACTGCATTTGTAAACATTTAAGTTTGTAAACTTAAGTTTGTAAACTTTTAAACATTTAAGTCACATTACAATGGTGCCACGATTCTGAAAGAGCAGCTGAATCTGCTCTTCCGTTCTAGCCACCAGATTAAGCCAACCAAGAGCTTCCTTTTAAAATGCAGTAACACAGCCTGGGTTAAACATCTTCAAGCCACTGATTTTAATCAATGACAACTTTAGATTTTAAAAAAAGTTACATAAAGCCACTTCAGTTCCCCAGAACAGCTATACTGTGCATCACAAGCTTTCCAGGAACTTCATTTTCTAATTAGGATTATTGGAAATCATTGGTTTTTTAAAACTTCAGGTGGCACCTAAGCTTTACCTCAGTTATGAACAAACTCGAATTTTTTTTAAAACTTTAGGTGGCACCTAAGCCACTTCAGGAGGCACTAAGCTTTACCTCAGTTATGAACAAACTCGAATGCAAGTTTTCACCATATATACTTCAAAGTAGCTTCGTAAAGGAAAAGCACAATATTTTCCCTTGATTTCAACAGGGTAAAAGTCTGGTTGACAGGTACAAAAATCTAAAAAATCTCCCCATACAACATCTACTATTCTCATGCTGCATCCACTTCCACAGTGCGATAAGCAGTGGACATTTCAAGATATAAAGTAAAATAATCAACTGCACAAAAAAATAAGGAAAAGTCTCCCCCTCCTCCAAACACAACACGGGTTCATGTAAGGGTCTGTAGAGTGTGTAGAGGTCACCATGCAGAGTACTCAATATCTCTCAAGACAGGTTAGATATCATATATTTTTATAGCTCTATCCTTAACTTTTTATTCTTAAACCAATTTAAGAATAATCAGCGATAATAGCTCTTCTGCTCCTTAAGTGGTGCTTTAAAGTTTATTCTAGACAACAGAAAGGTTTCTATCTATTCCACCAGGCTTTTTGGCAAGACCCATGAGGTCAAAAATTTGCTGAGCTGTTGAAATTGTACCAGAATAAATAGGTTTGACCTTGCATTATCTTAAAAGCAAGCTGGGATTTTATCTGGTTAGTATTAGATGGCTGAAAACACCTCGACAGAAAGTAATACCTTGCTTGAATTCTTTGGAAAGATTTTACACATTCACTATCTCTACAGGTGGTTTAAAATGACTGTTGTATTCTATGTGTGAATTGCTATTTGTTCCTTAAGTTTTATACTTAGTTTTCTCATTCACTGGGGTGGCAATTAATGCAATAACAAATTAATAGTCTGCAATCAAGTTGCTATGTGCCAGCAATGTCAGATCTCATAACCTAAACAAGAACAGGACTGGAAAACTTTCAAACAGGTATGTTTGAATGACTGGAACTACAGCTATTAATTTAGCCCTCAGGACCACGTTATCAGGTTAGATGGGACCACCAGAGGCTCTCTCTTCCTTTCCAACCTCCTCGAAAGGTAAAATCAAATAAATACCAATGATTTCTGAGTGGTGTTTCTGTCATCTGTTCTAAATAACCTCCAATAATTTCATAGCCCCAAAATTTGTTTTAGCCTTTGGGTATCCCTACTGCAAGGAAGTTTCCCTCATTATCAAACCTACGTATTTCTCCCCTTCCATACACATTCATTACTTCATCTCCAACTTACTACAACAAAACTAAATTTTCTTCTGTTCTACTCCTTTCCAGTTTGTATAAATGCATTCTGGAGAACATGGGGATTCATCACTAAAGAGTGTGGTGCACTGTGATTTAACATTGTCTGCTCCCACCACCCAGGCAGCACATCAGGTCACACACATAGCCGTTCTGCTGCCTCACACTTCAATCAAACTAATGCATTTGGTTGAAAAAGGATGTCAAAATGCAAGTTTCACCATGAGGCCAAGAAATGCAGAATTAAAGTTCCCATGACAGCCCATCGGTGCTTCTCATGTGACTATTCTTCCTCAAGGTCTTCTATGTTACAATCACACAGTGCTACACAATTTACTACCCACTAAAGCAGCAGGTGGAAAAGCAGTTCAGGAATTATCACAATTACAACACAGTGCTAGACAATTTACTACCCACTAAAGCAGCAGGTGGAAAAGCAGTTCAGGAATTATCACAATTACACGACAATTTCTACAGCACTTTTACATTGAATGACGCTCGGCTCCGGCTGCACAACTTTGAACTCAATCCCCCAAATGGTACCAAAGGCACCAGCATCTTCCTGATTTCACAGTGCTGGCTGAAGCAGCAGCAGAGTAAAACTGATAAAACTTTAGTCAGTGCCTCTCTTACTACTCGGAACCCCTAAAGGCAATAATGAAAAGACTGAAAATTATGTTAAATTCATGCTGTAGCTACTCAGGAGAGCTATAGGTCATAGCAAGGAGTTATTTTAGAACTGCTCTTAGGGAATAAACATGGCCTAGGAAAAGAGCTTGCAGCTAAATATATAAAGAAATAAAATAAAAGCAGAGTTTTGTTAACATGTATGTCAACAATTTGAGTCTGGTGAAGGCATTTCTTCTCTCTCTCTCAGTTATTACCCTGAAAACATGGAACTGAAGTCCAGTTCATTAACAAGGAGTCCTACATTGTGTACACAAGCCAATTTAACAGAAATAGCTAATTGGTAAGTTGCTGTTCTAGAGAAAAATCCCAGCAGAAATAACTTCAGATATGCAAGTTGGGGGAAGCAGCATGTAACAGAATAATGCTTACTAGTTTCACACAAATATGTTAGAGACAATTTTTTTTAATAGATGAAGCTGCAGTAGATACAATCCTGGTAAAACACAGGAGAATCAGAGCAACGTTTTAGCCTGTGCAGTTTTCTTTGATAATAGCCCCAAACAGAAAACAGAAAAATAGAAGAATGAGTCGTTAAAGTTTACAAAAAGCTAACCACAAGCAGTATTCTTTATAATCTAAAGCAGGCAAATATTTTCCTTTTGTAAAGAACTGGTAAGTGATCCTGCAAGGGAACAGTAAACATTTCAAGGCTAAAAGGTTGCAAAAATGCATCAATCCAGTAATAAATATAGAGGACACACAGGCTATCTGCTGAGCCATGCGTGAGCTAATAACACTGGCTGTCAAGATTCCCCTATTAAATGATAACAAAAGGCACTTAGTAAGAGATGGTGAAAATCAATTAACTGGAGAAAAGGCATGAGAAATAAAACATGGCAGCCAAACACTTCTCTATTCAGACGTACAAAATGAAGTTTTCTGCAGAAACGTCGTGTTAAACAAGCAGAATTCACAATGTTCTTTCAAATTGGGTTAACTCTGCAAGGTATCAAGTACCTGCAGTTCCTGCTGGAACAAAAAAGGACCTGAAATGAGTCGGCTCTCTGCAGGATAACCCTCTTTGTTGAACAGCCAATGTAAAGAAAAATCGAGGTTAACCATTTCCAGAACATGGATGTTAAGCTGTAATTTTACACTTTACTTCTGGCCCAGGGACAGATGTTCTGCAGTCCTCCCCGCTGGCTGCCTGCCCCTGTCCTCATGGCTGCACTAACACAACACAACGCCTCCCAGGCCAGACTGTAGGTGTACACCCCCAATTAAGTTGCTAAGGGTCAAAATTAGTCCTTAAAACCACGCTGCACCCTTCTGCAAGAAAGAACTTAACACTAATGAAAGAGCCCTTGTGACTACCCTGTTCCCCTTGTCCCTTTCTCTGCCCTCGACGCCTTTTCCGCCTTCTCACAAGTAGCCACATCCCTGGAAATGACACTGTACAACAACAACAAAAAAAATCACCAAATGGAACACCTCTGATGTGGCTCTTACACTAAGTATAAATGGAATAATTCATGTCTCACTGAAATAGAAGGTACCACTTTGGAAACACTCCAAAGACTAAATGGAAATGGCCAAAAGACACCAGGTTTTTGCCTTTTCCATTCCAGAGTGCTCTGCCATGTAAGAGGTTTCCTTCTCTCCTGACAGCAAAAGTGTTTGTGCCCTATCCCTAACATTTGAGTGTGTAAATCCCACCAATGTTCCTGACGTGCTGCAGGCAGGAAAACAAGTAAGATTCTTCCAAAGCTTGCAATTTCAGGCTGGATATTAGGAAAAATTTTTTCACTGAAAGGGTTATCAGGCATTGGAATGGGCTGCCCAGGGAGGTGGTTGAGGCACCATCCCTGGAGGGGTTCAAAAGACGGGTTGATGAAGTGCTGGGAGGTATGGTTTAGTGATGATGCTCCTTGTTTGTTGTGTGGGTGTCTATTTTTGTCAGTTAGGTTGACGGTTGGACAAGATGATCTTTAAGGTCCCTTCCAACCTAGAAGATTCTGTGATTTGGCCATGTTTGCAAAAACTGTGGTGGAAACTACTGTCCCTGTAGGTGTTTGCAGAAACTGTGGTGGAAACTACTGTCCCTGTAGGACACATCTGTGCCAGCAGCAGCATCTTACCTCTCAGTACTGACTTGAGGTTCAGCTTGGCTTGTCGGTGCAGGTCCTCCACACAAGGTGGTCTCGAGGAAGGCAGGAACACATTCTCCTGCTGGTGCCACGGAGCAGTGTAGTGCACGGTCCATCTACTCTCTTCATCTAGGTTGGAAACGGCTGCAGAAAGAGACAATAATAAGGAAATTAAATGCTACTGTAGATAGTTATATCATGAAACCCTGCACCTAAGTTTGTTGTGCATCATCTTAAAACAAAAAAAAAGCGTTTGCCACCATAGTCCCATCAAAACTCTCTAGAACCTCACTTTTATGACAGTTAAAAGCCCTCTTCTCATTTCTAGTCTACATTTATTCTCCTGTGTTCTGTAGGAAACACCTTTGCCTCTTCCCATATTTAGAATCATAGAATGGTTTGGGTTGGAAAGGACCTCAAAGATCATCTAGTTCCAACCCCCCTGCCATGGGCAGGGACACCTCTCACTAGAGCAGGTTGCTCAAGGCCCCATCCAGCCTGGCCTTGAACACTTCCAGGGATGGGGCAGCCACAGCTTCTCTGGGCAACCTCTTCCAGTGTCTCACCACCCTCAGAGTAAAAAATTTCTTCCTGAGATCTAATCTGAATCTTTTTTCTTCCAATTTAAAACCGTTTCCCCTTGTCCTATCATTACACTTCCTGGCAAAGAGTCCCTCCCCAGCTCTTCTATAGGCACCCTTCAGATATTGAAAGGCCACTATATATTTATATTTGCTATTGTATTTACTCTTAACATGCAGGACTTTTTTCCCCCCTCTCTAACTCCCAAATGAGATGAGTTTCCCAGTCCCCTGATCCCACCAGGTGCAGTGTGTTGCAGGATAGTTTCCTCTTGCTCAAGGGTGATCCTGGGAATACGACAGCCGCCATGAGAGATTACGACGGGTTCATTTGCATCAGGAAATAACCTCCTCTGACCTCACGCTCGCTCAAACCAGGAACAAAAATTCCAAGGAAGCCAACAAATGAGCTACTTGCCATAGCTCATAGAGTGGAAAACAGATTTGGAGAACAGCAACTCCCTGGGTCAATACTGCTCAAAGCACAACAGCACTGGAGAGGGATTGCTCTGGTCACCTCTTCGCGGCCAACACAGGCATGAAAATAAAATAGTGACACTGCTCAAAGTTCCCTACAGCCAGCCTAGTAACGAAGCAGCCAAAGCATGTATTGCCAAGATTTGTTTATCACAGATGTTTCCCAAGAGACAGCCGTTACCTTTTGTTTGAAGTTTATCATCAATAAAAACTTCTACAGTTGAACAGCCCTATCCCTCCACCCTGTAATAACAGGAAGAGGGCAGTTGGGGGTCACATTTTATGATCTCCCCAGGCACCCTTTCGCCTTCAACCAGCACATCCTTGCTTCCAGCTCTGCAAAACAGAAGGAGCCCCTGCATCCACGCTGCCTCCAAGGCACCTGCCTGGCTGCTGGCTCCCCATCTCCTCTCACACCCCGGGCACCGGGCCCTGCAGCATCCCCTGGTGAAGTTCAGCCGGTGCCTCCACAGCAGCAGAGGAGAAGCTACCAAGCTTCTGTGTAAGCTGAGAAGCTCCTGTCATCTGAAAAATGACTCTTTCCCTACCACCACCCAGATCATTTCAGATGGAAATAATTGGTACTCGTTAAAGGAAATAAGCTACGCCTTCTGCTTCAAACCCCATAATGCTTAATGCCTGTTTTGCCCTAAAAGGGCTTGGGGTGGGAGGGTGGTTCTCAACTGCCTTTCCTCAGTTTTTTTAGATTAGTATCAGACCTCAAAAAAGGTTTTTGACAACTTTTGATTGGTCTATTCATCCTCTGAGATGGCTTGGTCCTGCCATCCCCCCTCTCTCACGGACATATTGGCTGTAACAAGGCAGATCCACGCTCAGTCTGTGCCCGCTTTGCCCGTCCTTGCTGACTAGAGGTCAAACCTAAATCACAACAAACTGACAAGTCACCACCACCTACCTGGTTACAGCATCAATCATCCCAATTATTACAGAAGCAGTGCTAGGTATAGTCAATGACCTGCCCGAAAAGCATCCCCCGCCAGCCCCTGGGCTGAGCAGGGGGTGGGGAGGGGATTAAAGCTGGGGGAGGAAGAGGAGGAGGCAAACACCAGCCGAAAAACCCACCATCCCCACAGTCCAGCCATACCAAAATTAAAGTTTACTGCTCGCCAGAGCAATGGTCACCAAAACCAGTCGACAGAAGTGCTGCGGATATACACAAACTACTATCTCTAGTGCAACTTGTCTATTTTCATTAATTAAATGGAGACTCACGATTTTAAAAGCCACGATGAAACTAGAGCATCTTTAAAAACCCCAACTCAGCTCAGAACAAGCCTTATAGATACAAGCCCATAGCTGGACCAGCGCTCAGCAGCTACACAAGCAGAGATGGATGGATGGATGTCTGAAGGAGGCCAGGAGGATGCCCTGACACAGCAGGACACCTGTGCAGGTGACACCGGCACATTCAGCCTTGTCACTGAGCCACTCCTGTCACACCGAGAAGTCTGGGTCCTTCAAAACAACCGACCACGAAGTTTGGGTCCTTCAAAACAACCGACCACGACAAAGGACTTCAAAAGCAACGCAGTACCCCAAAGCAGAGGTCCTGAAGTACCTCATAAGGCTGATTCCGCACAGGACAAAACATTCAACGGAGAAGAGAACGGAATAAACTTAAAAAGAGGTGCCAGGAAAGCAGGAACCAACCCGAAGGGAATCACACTTTCCTGCAGGACTCGGCTGCCTCCTGAAAGGACGGGGAACACGCACAACTACTTACTCTTCCTCTTGAAAAGTTTCATGAGAGATTTAAGCTTTGTGTTGATGAAAACCACCATTTTCGAGGTGCTGAACCGCAATCCTGGAGTTTAAATCCCACAAAAAGGAGGAGCAGCAGAAAGGGGACTGTTCTCCAGAACAAGCCCGATCAAACTCTACACACCAAATTTCTCTTCTCCGGGCTTCTCCCCTCCACCTTTCTTTTCCTGAAGCCACAACTTTGAATCCGCCTAGATTTTCCTGATGCTCAAAACCATTTCCAATTCTGTACCCTGAATTTCTCCTCCTCACATGTAACCTTGTGGGCTGAAAAAGAGCCAGCGCCAACACGCAAAGCAGGAGGAGGAGGAAGAAAAAAAATAATTAAAAAAAAAAGTTAATTGTTATTCACAGGACCATAAAAAAAATTCGGCTTTCTTGCTACATTTACTACTCAGTTCTTCTTCTCGTCCTTCCCTCCGCTCTCCAAGTTGGGGTTCTCCCAAAAGACCCGACTTTGCCGGTGATTTTCTCCCCTTCCCATGGCACCAGCCGGCTCTGCCGCCGGAGCACAGGGAGGGAGATGCCGGTACCTTCCCCCCCCTCCGCCCCCAGCCCGCCCTTTGCACCTCCCTCCCCGG